TGCTAGAGCGCACCAAAGTGTGCTTTACAAGCTTTAGATGATACACTACATAGGCAAAATATGTAATACTAAAGACCAGCTTTACTCCCTACCTGATAAAGGCAAATATGATCTCTCTCGGTGGTTATGGGGATATCTAAGGGAACACATACACAAATGACACCCCCTAGAGGTGGCACAAGAACTAGATGAACCCATCATGGAGGCATAACTAATGCAAGTCCTTAAGTCATCCAAACAAGCCTCGACCCAGGTGGCCTATCTGTGCAATACTATAAGCATATCCTATCACTTCTGCTAGCACTTAGTTTTTGTACACCACACCCTTCTTGATCCTAACCGTACATGTCAATGTTGCTCACTCTCACACTTGCTCTTAGTCCTTGTCCTTAAACCCATCCTTAAAAGCAATTAGGAATAAACCTAATATAAACGGAATATAGGTGGGTCGAATCAAACATAAAGTAAAAGCCTTTGCTGATGACCACCTGTTTTAAATAACCAAACCGGAAACTACTCTTCTGCACATACAAAAAAAAATAGCCACATGCAGCTCACTTGCAAATTTTCAAATCAAATACATTAAATCTACTATCCTTAATAAGTTGATTTCTGAGGCTCAAGCCATCTCAATCCACCAGGGAAATCTCCATTAAATACATTAGAATCTGGGTGACTACCGGTCTCAGTAAGCTATACCAAGCAGACCTACAACAACTCCAAGACAGATTCCACAATAATCTGAGTGATTGGACTCTGCTACACCTCTCCTGGCTGGGGGAGAATAGGGGTTATTAAAAGGAACTTCCTCCCCAGAGTCCTCTATCTGTTCCAGACACTTCCAATCCCTGCCCCAAAGTATGTCTAGAATGGGCTGAGGACGTTCATCAGTCATGGCACAATGGTTCTGCCTAAAGTCGGGGGTGGGGTGGGGTGGGTTGGTGTTACCCAACTTTCAGCAGTACTATTAAGCAACACCCAATCCAAAGGGTGATGTAGGGGACCAAAGACAGGGTCCATGCACATTAGAAAGACATAGAATCACACAGTAGTCAGTCCACCGTCAGTACCAATTTCTGGATGGACCCAAGTCACAGTTAGAGACTGGCACATCCTCATCCATTTATGAGGGCTACTCTAACTATATGGCATTCCCTCACAGCCAAATTAGAACTGTCCTCCTTCCCATCTACCAATTTCCCCCTGTCCCATAATGTAGCATTCCCACTGGGATTGGAAGCTGCTAGTTATGCACACCTCTTTGGCTACTGTGTATTCCAGGTGAGACACATCCTGGCAGAAAGCAAGCCACTGCCCATACCAGACATGCTAAACAATCAGTCTCCTACACTCATGGAGATGTTCCGTTATACTCAAATGAGAGCTTTTATCAACTCCATCCCACAACGCCCTTTACTGAAAAGGAAATTTACACTGTTTCAGTGGTCGACATGAATCAATGTCCAGATTTTACTAATTCAGGCCCCAAACATGCCTGAATTTGGTTTGGATTTCAGCCGGGCCGAACTCACCCGGACAGCTAAAACCCAAGCCAAATGTGACCAATCCAGATCTGTAAGATTCAACACTGGGCCTGGATTAAAAAAAATATTATTTACCCACTAGCAATACTAGCAGCCAGCGGGCAAATAGAGAAAAACCCTTGGCAACACAAGGGTTAAATAAGTGGTGGCTGGTCAGCTGCCACATTAAACAAGTAAAAAAAAAAATATTGTATATTATTATATGTAATGTACCTCCATATGCCTTAACCTGCCATTCAGCAGGTGGGGGCATATCTACTTTTCTACTTGGAAAGGCCCTTGAAAAACAAGAGGACATAGTCCACATTGGTCCCCACCCTTTCATTTTAAGTGGGGGGGGGGGACCTAGTGTCCCCTCCCCTGGCCCACAAACATTCCGGCAGATGGGGGCTCTAATATTTATAAAATGGGGGGGGCTATAGCCCACCTCCTCCAAAGATGATGGGTTGGAGCCTTAATATTTATAAGAAAGGAAGTTCTTATTGTCCCCTGTTGGCAAACACCAACACGGCAATATATAGGCCCCAATATGTTCAAATTGCCCTTTGCAGGGGTATATATCAGGCCAGTGTGTGAGACATAACCTTTTGAATATACTGGCGGTATATACTGACTTACACAAGCACAGAGATTGCACTCACAGGACTTGGCCTAGAACCTATGACTTACCCCAGCACTGAGATTGCACTCACAGGACTGGCCCCGACACTAAGATTGCACTCACAGAAGTTGCCCCAGAACAGAGTTTGCACTCACAGGACTTGTCCCAGCACCACTGATTTACCCAAGCACTGAGATTGCACTCACAGGACTTGTCCCATCACCCAGTCCAGCACCTATATTGCACTCACAGGACCTGCCTCAACACCCCAGGACTTACCCCAACACTTAAATTGCACTCACAAGACTTGCCCTAGCACCAAGGACTTACCCCTGCATTTAGATTGCATTCACAGGACTTGACTTAGCACCTATAACTTACCCGAGCACTGGGATTGCACTCACAGGACCAGCCCCAGCACTGAGATTGCCCACTTAGGAGTTGCCCCAGCAACCAAGACTTATTCCAGCACAAAGATTGCACTCACCGGACTTGCCTCAGCACCAAACACTTGCCCCAGCAAGGAGATGGCACTCGCAGGACTTGACCCAGCACCCAGGGCTTACCCCAAAATGGAGAATACACTAACAGGACATGTCAACCTCTCCCCTTCCATCCATATCTCTCCATGTCAACTTCCCCCCCTTCCATCCATATCTCTCCCTCATGTCAACCTACCCTATTCCATCCATATCTCCCCTCATGTCAACCTCTTCCCCTTCCATCCATATCTCTCCCCCATGTCAACCTCCTTCCCTTCTATCCATATCTTTCCCCCATGTCAAATTCTCCCCCTTCCATCCATATCTCTCCCTCATGTCAACTTCTTCCCCTTCCATCAATATCTCTCCCCCGTGTTAACCTCTTCCCCTTCCATCAATATCTCTCCCCCATGTCAACCTCTTCCCCTTCCATCAATATCTCTCCCCCATGTCAACCTCTCCCCATCCATATCTTTCCCCATGTCAAATTCTCCCCCTTCCATCCATATCTCTCCCAATGTCAACCTCCCCCTTCCATCCATATCTCTCCCCCATGTTAACCTCTTCCCCTTCCATCCATATCTCTCCCCCATGTCAAACTCCCCTCTTCCATCCATATCTCTCCCCCATGTCAACCTCTTTCCCTTCCATCCATATCTCTCCCCCATGTCAAACTCCCCATAAATAAATATTGTGGCCCCTACCAGCTGGCATGGCTGAGGGTTGGGGAAAAGGCAAATGTCCCCCCCTTAAAATTTAAGGTAGCCCCCACCTGATAGGGGCACAGGGTGGACTAGTCCTCTATTATTTCACAGGTCCCTTCCCTTAAGTAAGACAAAAAAGGGAAGAGAATGAAGTAAGATATAGGAAAAGGAAAAATGAGATACAAAAGTGTTCTGAACAGATGAGCTGTGTGCCAGTCTTGGAAAATGCTGCACCCATTGATATTGTGAAACCTTTTTAGACATAAGCGCAGACACTAATTGTAACGCAGTTGAATTGCCTTTCTTACAGAAACCCCATTGTTTTTTTGTAATTTGTTTTCATTGCTTAGTACAATAGTGCTATGGCAACAGACCTCACTAAGGTTTCTGGTAAAGAATAAAAATGTGATTTAGAGATACACTTCCACCTAACAGATACACCACTCTGGATCTCTTTTTGTTAAAAAAAAGATGTCTATTAGATTGCACATGTTGCATCAGAAACCAAATTGCATATACCCTGACAAACACATTAGTGAGACTGGCCACTCTATTTCATACCTCCCAACATTTCAAATAGATAAAGAGGGACACTTAATTTTTAGTGGTGTGATTGGGGTGGGAATGGTGTGAGAGGCAGGGCTGTTCTGAGAAAATTTAGCTGACTTACTAATAAATAATTAATGCTACTAAAATGTAATTTGAAACAAGAACAATGTATGTTATTTACCCAGACTGATTTTTAAACACATTTCCTAGAAAAGAGGAACACTAGGATAGAAAAAAGGGTTGAAAAAATTATTAATATAAAGTTTTTGCTTATTTGTTTTTCATTTACTCTGTTATGGTTTTGTAATACCTGAATGATTTATTTTTGTAAGGTTTACCATACATGTGTCTGTTAAAAAGTTAAAGGACCACTATAGTGCCAGGAAAACAAACTCGTTTTCCTGGCACTATAGTGTTAATAGGTCCCCCCACCCTCATGGACCCCCTCCCGCCGGGCTCTAGGGGGAGGAAGGGGTTAAACTCTTAACTTTCTCCAGCACCAGGCTCCCTCGGCGCTGGGGACTCTACTCCTTCTTCCGACGTCTTCGGCTGAATGCGCATGCGCGGCAAGAGTCGCGCATTCAGCTAAGCCATAGAAAAGCATTTCTCAATGCTTTCCTATGGACGCTGGCATCTTCTCACTGTGAAAATCACAATGAGACAGCCACTAGAGGCTGACTTAACCCATATGTAAACATAGGAGTTTCTTGAAACTGCTATGTTTACAGCAGGCAGTGTTAACCCTAGATGGACCTGGCACCCAGACCACTTCATTAAGCTGAAGTGGTCTGGGTGCCTATAGTGGTCCTTTAAGTAACCTACACTAATTTATTTTTTGTTGCTGTTTTCTTAAACATGTCCTTTATTATTTTCACTATAATATATTTTACTTGGACTAATAAAGCAAAAATCAAAAGGTACACAGTTAAGCCTCATGACCGTCAATGCTTCCAAAATATACCTGGGTTATAAGGGTTAGAAGTTTAGTACATAGTGTAGTGATGTAACTATGGGTTAATATTCTTCTGTTACACAGTAAGAAGGAATCCCTTCCCGCCCTCCCTTTTGATTGTAAAACCCCACAGGGCTTAATTAGATACTTCTTAGCAAAGGCTTTTGTCGCCTCTTAGATACCAAGACAAAAAGTCCTCAACCAAACTGACAGTTTGGAGCAGACTTTGCTTAAACCTCTTCGGTTCAGTTGAGTATTTCTCCTCCCTTCACGCTTGTGAAAAAGAAAATATATCCTAATTTTGCTACATTTCTCATTGGATTGCTGCTCACAAGATTGAGGCCTACATTTAACACATCAATAAGTTTTCCGGTGCCAGATAATTGCTGTATATTGAAGGCCTTGGGAATTTAGCAGCTAAGAGAGTCAGAGTGGAACATTGGAAAATGTTTATCACAGTGAAATTTGGGGGTAAGTACTAAGAGAGGTGACAGGTGTTTCCTTTGCTTTTCATACTTAAGTCTCTCCTCTCGATGCTGGGGTAACAGATTTGACTGTTTCTCCTTTGTATTGTGTACAGATAACCTGAATGCTTTACTCTTCCACAGAAGATCATCAAATTTTACTGAACCCCAACTGCAAGTTAGTTAACCTGATAGAAAGCCTGAAGGAGCAGTGCCAATGTGGACCTGATGGTAAGTGAAAGGCCACAGGGTGGGTACAATATGGGATCATGGGATGGTGTGAACAATTAAATGAAATGGGGTAAACCCCAGTTTTACAAATTACTCCACTAAACACTATCCATGTGAAGAAATGCAATTTAGTGCCACACCACAGAATATATCAGATTGGCTCTTCCATCAGTAGACATTCCCAGTCTGATGAAGGCCCGCTGACAGAAACATTACTCTGATATCTTATGGGGTGGTGCTAATAAAATATGAATTCTATTTCTGGAGTCATCCTATAGACTGTAAGCTCCTTTGAGCAGGGTCCTGATCTACCAATTGCTCCTGTGTCATTGTGGAATTGTCTCACTTAATGTAAAATTTCCCTCTTTCATAATATTGCAAAGCGCTGCGGAATTAGTTGGCGCTATATAAATACCAATAATAATAATTTGCAGAATTGTGGAGGCTAACAGGAGTGTCTGTGGATCACTAACTCTAGGCATGAGTAACTTCCTGGGTATGTTTTGTTGTGCTGTATCCACAAGCTGTATATGGGGTAAAATGCAAGCCTCATTGGCAAGTATACATATGCATTAAAGTATAAAGGTTATCAATCCGAGATATTAATCTTCTTATCTTTAATTCTATTGTCCAGTACCTTGGAACACTAAAGAAGAGTTTTCTTCTAATCTACTAACTAACATTGTATAGGTGGGATTGGAATCTAATAAACAATATTTGTGTTCAATTTCTGTAAAATAGAACACAAATATTGCAATACTCACTACATTATTACTTAACACTCCAAGCACTGTGTGACTTGTCTATGAATACATGAAGGGACAACTATTAAGACCAGGCAGAGGAGCCCTGTTTTTGAACAGTCTCTGAATGTGTTTTCTTTTTGCTTTCAATAAATCTAGGGTTAAATCCTTTTTGACAGTCCTCACATGTCATTTGGCACTTAAGGCACTCGAGTTGTAGTGCCTTATTCTTTTGTTTTCTCTGTCTGTTTCACTAGATACCTTGTGAGTATTGTAACATATTACATTATGTTTAGGTTGATATAAAAAAGGTAAAGTAAGCCTAGATAATTAAAATTTAATTGTGATGCTTCTAAATCTGCTGAAAAATGGCACGTACAGCCCCATTTACTTCCTAATGTTCCTAATGTTTGTATCCAAGCAAGATTTGTTTCTTGCTTAATGTAAACAAAAGATAATTGACGTCGTCATTGCTATTCAGCTTTGTTTAGTTTCTTATCACCTTTTATCTTAATTTGAATTTGCCTTTACACACTCCCCCAAATCCGTTTCCTGCTCACTCCCAACTCTTTCAACTCTTTCAACGTAACTTTTCTCTCAAAATTCTGGTCATGTTTTTATCCATTTATCACAGTGGTTAAGTGTTTTGTTAATATTTCAGTTTCCATAGATCTCCTAGATGAATCAGGGAACCTTATCAATCTCAGTGATCTTGAAGGATCCCAAGACATTGCCACAAATCACCTGCATGAGCGACAATGCTATGTATTGGTCAAGGTCATCCGTAAGTCTACATACAATTGTTTCAGAAAGTTACAATTATATCAGTTACTGTAAATTTGGTAAGCTATTAAAATATTTGTTGACAAAAATAATAAAGAGGTTTGAATTAAAAGTAAATTAATTATTGGGACACTATAGGCCCCAGTACCACTACAAGTGACTATGTGGAAAATGGTATTTCTCAAAAGCCCAAGAAGTGTAAATGCTGCCTTTTCTGAGAAGAAATGGTGCTTCCACTGCTGCCTCACTCAGACAGCCACTATATGAACTTCATAGGTCCCTGAATGCTCCTCATATAGATGCAATAACTCTTTGAGGAGATTCTGATTGGCTCTATGCAGCAATGTGCTGCGCATGCACACTAGCCTCCCAAACTTAATTTCAGGTCAAAATAGTTCAACTCGAAATATTCTCCAAGTCAGCTATGCTTCCAGATTCGCTGTGTCATGACTCTAACTGCCTGTATGTGTGTGAAAATGTTTTCCATCCACTCAGTCTCTAATACACTCTCTGCTTTGAAGGAGGAGAAGGATCAGAACCAGCACGCTATGAGTCACTGCTGGAGAACTTGTGGAAACGGTCTCCAGAGTTAGCAGGTGAGCAATCAAGCAATTGTATAGGTTTGAAATGTTCTTGAATCTCTCTTGATGGGTGAGCTTGCATAATATCATGCATTATAGTAACCTTTCTCGGTGAGTATTTGCAACTATCAATATCAAGCATAGCTTCCCTTTTCTATAACATTGTATAAAATATAGGATGATATTTTGTCTTACAATTTTTTTCTATGAATATGTTTCCTATAAATGTAGCTCTGACTAGTATAGTCAGTATTTACTGTATTTTATGTCTGATTATGTTGCAGAGCGCCTGCAGAAATTGTCCAATCCGAATATGAAAGATAAGTGGCGCAACCCTGTTCATAAAAAAATCCGTGCCCCCAAGGAAGCAGCATTTACTTCCTCTACCAGGAGTCGATTGTCATCTCAACAAAAGAGCCGTCTATCTTGAAAGTTGATCCATTTATCGGACAGGAATCAAGTGGAATTAATAAGGACTTCCTCTTGTCAACGAGTAATACAGGAGCTGTAACATTATATCAGAAGTCCGGCCCTTGTATATTAATATTTTAATGTGAATGCAGAACTAAGACAGAGTGAGTGAAGCTAAGGTGGTTCAGGCTTGGAATTGACCAGAGGAATATACCCAGTATTCATCTCAGGAAGTTAGATGTTAGGGATTTGTGTTTTCATCTGAACTAAGGAGGAATTTTGCAAAAAAAAAAACTATGGTATGTTCAACTAAAACAGGCTTCCCCAAACTTCGGCCCTCCAGATGTTGCTGAACTACAACTCCCATGATTCTCAGCCTATTTCATTCATAGAATCATGGGAGTTGTAGTTCAGCGGCATCTGGAGGGCCGGAGTTTGGGGAAGCCTGAACTAAAACATGCAGCTTTTCATAAATTCTCTGACAATTATGAGATAAATCACTTTGTTTATGCAGCCTTAGCCACAACTCCTCTGGATTCCCTCCTGCTCTATTAAAGAAACACTGAATGTTTTGTTTTCTTTTAAGCAATTTAGTAAATATAATCCCAGAGAAAAAGTGCATATTATTTTTCTGCATGTTTTATAATTTTATATGAAAACACAGCTTGCAAAAGGTGCAAAAGGTGCAGACCTGCCACATGCATCTTTTGCAAGTCCTCCTCTATATTGCAGGCACAGATTTCCACTGGGTTTTTAACTAAAGTCTGAATGTGGAAAACCCATTTGGCTGCATATTTAACTATTCAGAGTGCGAAACCCAGATATTGTTCACACTATTTAACAATTTTGCAGTTCAGTCTCCGAACCGGCCTGAATTTGGTCCACATTTCAGCTGGACCCGGAACAAATGCTGAAATTCAGACCTGAATATTTCACGTCCGAACCCAGTCCTGGATGCTTCAAACCAGCTCCCAGATTTAAAAAAAGTCAAACTATTTGCTTCCTGGGTAAAAAGCAGGTGAATAATAATAATTTATGAATGTGTCTGGACGTTTTGTGAATCATTTGAATTCAATACTTTGTATTCGATTCAGATGTGAAAGAACAGACTTTAATCCAAACACCAAATGCATCTGGGCGATTACTGCAAATCCATTCAGCCCAACCAGAATTAGTTTTAGTAAATATGAGAATTGCCAGAATATGTCCATTTGCAGTGGGTTTTGTCCATCTGGACAAAATCCTATGTTTGGTGATTAACCCTATATATTTGCGCTGGGATATACAGCATTCAGAGGCTTCTCATAAATTAATTTACATATAAAGACACACATACAAGCACAGAATTCTGTAAATGTTCCTTAACTAGAACTAAATGATTGATTATGATTTGCAAGAAATATAATTTTCAATGGTGAAAACTCACGATTGTCATTTTCGTCTATTATGTTATATATATACACACACACACACACACACATATACATACATAGACACATACAAAATTGAGGTTGGGAAAACAGTGTGGATGAAAACCCCTTCCACCTGAAGTAAGTGGATAGTTAATACATTGCTAAACACAAATACACACACCAGTCAAGCTATAACACTTGCTTTTCCCACTGAAATCTCACTTTATCAGGGCTCTCACTACTTAAAGGGATTCTGGGTAGGCTTATGCAAATAAGCACAACAAAGAACCACATTTTGGCCTCATAATTCCACTTTATACATGAATTCCTTGGAGTATGTGTCGGCTGTATACAACAGCTTTGAAACACAACTCAGGAAGAGGAGCGAAGCCAGTGAACCACTCATGGACAGCTGTTTCGTTCACAATGCAACTCATCAGCATCCATGTATAAAGTGGAATTATGAGGCAAAAATGTGGGTTCTTTGTTGTGCTCATTTGCATACACCTATCCAGAATCCCTTGCAGTAGTGAGAGCACTGTTAAAGTGAGATTTCTGTGGGAAGAACAAGTCTTATGGCTTGACTGGTGTTTGTATTTGTGTTTAGCAATGCAATATATATATATATATATATATATATATATTATCTCTATCACATACATACATACGGCTCGACAAATTCCAGGCGCCAGGTCATAGCCCTTTCCTAAGCCGCGCAGGAAACATTAAAGCCAGCGGCCGCAGGGAACATGGAGGTGGCGCACAAGGGAACAGTAACCTTCCTGCAGTTCCTCTCTGCTCCCTCTCGCACTGTTTAGTGACATGACATCACTCCAGCCCCGGCATCACTACAGAGAGTGCGCAGGGGAGCAGAAAGAAACTGCAGTAAGATTGAGAGGAGACAAAATGGACGCCAGAGAAAGATCTACTCAGCTCTTTCAAAGATCTTTCCCTGGCGTCCAGTGTGTCTCCAAAAACAAAAAACGTTACGGTGGGGAAAGAAATTGTGATTGAAAACCCCTTTCACCTGAAGTCTGTGGGTAGTTAATACAATGCTAAACAAAACAGGGGAGGTCACGAAATGAGAGTTCTCTCTCTCTTGGAGCTCTAGCACTTACACAAACTGACCCATACACACACACACACACACAGACGGCCCTATACATACACAGACTGACACCCCCCCGACCCCCCACAGACACAAAGACTAACCTATACACACACACAGGCTGCTCCATACACACACACAGAGACTGAACCCCCACACACAGACGGACACATACACACACGCAGACTGAACCCCCCACCTCCACACACTGACTGAAACCCCCCTCCACACACAGACTGACCCATACACACAAACTGAACCCCCACCTCCACACACAGACTGATCCCCTCACAGACTGAACCCCCTCACACCCATACACACACAGACTGAGCCCACCCCCACCCCCCCATATACAGACTGATCCCCCTACACACAGACTGACCCATACACAGACTGAGCCCCCCACACACACACACACACAAACATACTGAACCACACACACTGACTCAGACTTACCAGCAGCTGCCTGGATGACTTTGTGCAGTGCTGAGCTTCCTCTCCTGGTCTCTCCCCTGGTCTCTCTGATACCCAGCAGGAAGTCCTCCCAGCACAGTGCCCCCTCTGGCCGCACATGGGAAAAGGGTGGAACACAGTTCCACAGTGACGGTGCTGCTGCAGCCTGTGAAGGGGGGCTTAGTGCTCCTGACTTCAATTTCAATTGGGAGGTGTAGGAGGGTGGAGGGGGGGGGGCATGCATGATTTAGGGGGGGCCCCTCTGGCTATGCCACTGGCTAAAACTCCCACCACTTTTGGGTTGCTGCATGGCCAATAGTTTGCAAAACACTGTACACTGTCCCAAACCCTAATTTTGATTTACATTTATTTTATTCTGCCTCTGAACACAACTCTGTCAGTGTACAATCAGCAGGTGAATGCAACCTAATTCCTTGTTGTAGATAAACTAATTTATGCTTTTTTTTAAATTATAAAAGTAAATAAATAATAAACCAGACACAGCATAAATACTTAAAATAGCAAGTATCTAGATTTATTAAAAGTTCTGTTTTATGGTAAATTAAGGATTACGAGCAGACAAAGCTATGTCGCGTTGTGTGGTGCTGTAGGTATCGGACACAAAGCTGTAGTGCGTTGTAGATAAAGTGATGAATTCTGTTTGTATCTAATCTGGTAATCCGACGGCTGGACTGGCAATGTCACAAGAGTGATGAGACCCCTGAAGAGAACATAAATCAGAGATTAAACTCACAAGCTATAACAGTCCTCGATTTGTCTTTCAGCATTCGAGTTGTGTCTATTCCATTTAGGTTTTCACACTAATCCATTCCCACCATGCCACATACTACTTTCAGCCTGCATGCCTGGACTGCTGACATTCCATTTTATTCCTGTAATTTCCTCCTCTACTTAGTATTAACTAAGGTATTTATTCACTAAACTCCATTTTGTAAAAAATGAAAAGCTAGTTGGCAAAAACATCTCCTACTTATCTATAGTCATAGTTTGGCTATTTTAACCTACATTTCACAAAGTGGTTTACAATTCACAACATTCTTAAACCAAAATATCTGAATTGAAAAAAGAAAAAGTCAACTTGTTTTTTAATATTCTCCACTACATACCTCAAAAAATGTTATGTCCCTTAAAGTGAACCTGTCAGGACATATAACATATATCCCCTCAAATCCACTGAATTTACAATATCTCACTGATACATGATATATTCCATGTAAACTATATAAATATGAACTCACCTCCAATCCAGCACCGCCATGTCCTCAGCTTGGTTGCATTACCCTCCTGTAACACTCACCTGTGGTTCTCCTAGTCTCTTGTTTGAGTTGTCCTACAAACCTCCTCTGTGATACCAAAGCGCTGTGGCTGCTATGCTTGGAAAGCAGATATACTGCCTGTGGGAGGTTTCTTCTGCTCTCCCCTGTCAGTCAGTGCTTTGACATATACTCTGTGCTGAAGAATTTAGTGACAGGTGGGAGACAGACCTATTTTAAATAAGTTTTTCTCCCAATCTATTCACTTGCTAAATGCAAATCTGCTAGGACAATGTATTGATGAGATTGCATGCTCTTTAAATATACCATGATCGTCACCCTTTAAACTATACTTTTACCATATAACAAAACACTACAACCTTACATCTTTCATACTGTTTGTATGTTCTAACCCATGGCTACATGATCCTAAATCATCTCCCTTCTCACCATAGTTGTGTTTGCACTGTTTCAGTGCCTCACTAAACCCCTCACACAGGGTCAGATCACTTTGCGTGGTAGCACAATCCAGGAACTGCCTCATTTCATAGTGACAGGGACCATACTGTGATTGAGGTGGCTGAGGAGAGGCTGGGGGCCTTTGTGGTTCCTGTAGGTGATAGAAGCACAGAAGGAAAATAATGAATAATAGGCTTAGTAACTGAATAAGAAATATAAACATTGTATGTGCATTTAAACCCAATTTAAAAAATAACATAGCGGAAGACCTGCACACAATGCATCTGACACAGAATCAGTCCACAAGGTGCAATATTTACACCAAAGACACATTTTGAGGTTTAACAGACTTTCTTAACCCCTTAAGGACACATGACATGTGTGACATGTCAAGACTCCCTTTTATTCCAGAAGTTTGGTCCTTAAGGGGTTAAACATGAAGAAAGACATTTTCTAAGAGGAAACAATGTGTGCACAACAATCACAATGGTTTCCATATATAGTAGAAATTCCAGAAAATATAGTTGGGAAAAGGGGTGAGAGAGAATGGGGAAAGAAAAGAGAAAGTGGGAGTTTAGTATGACTTTCATAACTTCAGCTGGACACAGCCTAAAATGTAAACTTCTGGTCTGTTTTACTTAACTTGGTAATTAAATATGGATGCCCTGTTCCTCTATATGCCTAGATTTTGCAATAAATAATACAAACATGTTTCTTTTTGTAAAAAAAAAAAAAAAAAAAATGGCATAAAACTTACCTTGGACAAGATTTTAGTTAGACATGTTTTGTTTTGTTTTTTCAAATTCAGCTATTTTGGGGTTAAGTTTGCAATTTTGCTGACATATACAAGCTTCTGTAAAAACAACTCCCATAAGCAGAATACAGCCCTCGTACCCACACATTCAACTCTCATAAATGTCAACTCACTGTTAAATAAGTTAATCTATTGTATGACAGGGATGTTTCCAGTGCATTTATATTGCACTGAAGATGTGCCATGAAGACTCAGGTAGACAGAAACTAGTACTAGTTCTCTGACTACACCAGCCTACTAACAAATATCCCAGGGAGAGGGGGAAACTATGTACAATAGATATAAAAGTACTGTTATCTTGAATTACATCCTGCACGAACTATGCCTTTTCATAGAATTAATTATGTATAAGCCTTGCAGTAAGTTTACATTTAGAGGGCACAAGCAACAGTGATTATCACAAAAACACGATCACGGATCGGCTGACCAAAGTTTACTATATTGTAAATAACAATATATATGGCTTGATTATACCACATATTATATTGAACAATAACAATATTATATTTTGTTTCTCACCTGTGCTACTGGTTTAGCTGGCTCTGAGCTGCCTCCACTAAAAGCACCAGTGAGGGCTCCTCCAATCACATGCCCCACTGCCGATCCTACAGCCACCCCTGCTGCTGTAGTTGCCATCTGGGCCATAAGGCCAGGGCCCTGAGATGCAGCAGGGGCTGTAGACACAGCAGAAGGTGGTGGGTGGACAGGGGCAGGAGCATGGGAGGGCGCAGGGCTGGAAAGAAAAACAGAAAGTTAAAAAGTTATACAATATTCAGACCTAGGCAAAGAAAAACAACTATATCCATGGTAAAACAACTAGGGACAAACTCTATTAGCGTTATTTACTAAAGTAAATAAAGTCAAAGGAATTTCACAATTAAGGTTGGAGTAGACAAAATAAGAAGCAAAGCAGATGTAGAGATTTTTTTCCACGTTAGCTATTTTGACCTTGAAATTCCCTTTGAATTCACCTTGGGTTATCAACCTGTGCAGCACTGGCAAGGAAATTGCAAGATTTGGGCAGAAATTTTTTGCAATTGGCAAAATTCTCACGCTCAGTTGTTTTTCCAACTCCATCTTTTTTAACCTAAAATCTGCAATCTCCTTTTTATTTCTCCACAATTCCTTTTTTAAGTGAATAAATTCTCCAATATCAAAAGAGTAAATCATAATACATGGATAGTTACAGATAAATAACAGCAATAACTGTTTACACAAAAGAGATATTACTGTCCCATAAACAAAAGTGGCATAAAATACTTTAAAAGGTTCTGATGTCCCAATCCAGTCCTGCCCTGGTCAACACAGAGAATCACTCAAGTTTGTTTGATAATTTATTTTAGACTTTCATCTAGGTAATTTTACTATGCACCATTTTTTAATGTATATTTTTGTACTTTTTGAAAGTCGTTGTTATCTTAACCTCTTAAGGACTGGACTGTTTTTGCGATGTTGTACATTTGCGACCAGGCATATTTTTACACTTTTGTGGTGTTTGTGTTTGGCTGTAATTTTCCGCTCTCTCATTTACTGTTCCCATACAAATAATATATTGTTTTTTTCAGGACAAAAGGGGCTTTCTTTACATATCATTATTTATATAATCTCATGTATTTTAATTTAAAAAAAAAAAAATATGATGAAAAATTGAAAAAAATACATGTTTTTTGACTTTTACTTGAAAAATCTTTTACTCATCTACAAAAGCGAATGAAAAAACTGCTAAATAGATTCAAAATTTTGTCCTGAGTTTAAAAATACCTAGTGTTTACGTGCTTTTTTGCATGTTATAGGGCTATAGGTACAAGTAGGATATTGCGGTTTCAAAACATACATTTTTAAAATTTATCAATAGTGACATTGTAACACTATTATCTGTCATAAATCTCTGAATAACACCCCACATGTACATATTTTTTTTAAAGTAGACAACCCAGGGTATTCAATATGGGGTATATCCAGTCTTTTTTAGTAGCCACTTAGTCGAAAACACTGGCCAAAGTAAGCATTCATATTTGTTTGTGTGTGAAAAAAGTAAAAAAACTAAATTGAGCGCTAATTTTGGCCAGTGTTTGTGACCAAGTGGTTACTAAAAAAGACTGGACATACCCCATTTGCAATACCTTGGGTTGTCTTCTTTTGCAAATGGTATGCCATCATGGGGGTAATTCTCATTCCTGGGCTACCATACGCTCTCAAAGGCAACGTAACCAACTTGGCCATTTTCAATGTAAAAATATTTGACCCATATATTTGACCTTGTAACTTTCAAAAATGCTATAAAACCGGTACATGTGGGGTACTGTTTTACTCGGGAGACATCGCTGAACACAAATATTGGTGTTTAAAAACTGGAAAACGTATCACAACAATTATATCATCAGTAAAAGTGCTGTTTGTGTGTGAAAAATGTAAAAATATTTGTAAAAATATTTGACCCATATATTTGACCTTGTAACTTTCAAAAATGCTATAAAACCGGTACATGTGGGGTACTGTTTTACTCGGGAGACATCGCTGAACACAAATATTGGTGTTTAAAAACTGGAAAACGTATCACAACAATTATATCATCAGTAAAAGTGCTGTTTGTGTGTGAAAAATGCAAAAAAGTCACTTTCACTGACAATATCATCGCTGTGATATGTTTTACTGTTTTGAATCACTAATATTTGTGTTCAGCGAAGTCTCCCGAGTAAAACAGTACCCCCCATGTACAGGTTTTAGGGTGTCGTAGAACATTACAGGGTAAAATACAGTGCTAGCAAATTAAATTATCTGGAATTTCGGCCTGGGTTGGCAGGCAGGTCCCTCAAATTGCAATCAATAAAATTACTGAATTATGTAAAAATATTACATAAATACGCACGTAGAATTTAAATATATATGCATATTTATATATTTGTAGTCTACGTGTATATTTATATAATTATTTATGTAATTTTGTATATGGACATATGTATATTTCGTATTATTTTTATTTATTTATATATACATAGATATATATACAAATTCATTCTAAGTGTATTTTGATATAAATATATATATATATATTAATTTTAACATACAGTTAGAATAAAATTTCATATAGATATATAATTTTTTTGAAATTTTTATTATTATTTTTAAAAAAATTTATTTAACTTAAATTACTTATTTATATTTTATAATAATATATATATACAATATATATAGTTATTATATATATACGTGTGTAATTTAATTATAAGTGTATTTTTATATTAATATAAGTACATATTAATATAAAAATACACTTAGTATGGCATTATATATATGATATACAGACATATATTATATAGATATAATATATGTCTGTATATACACATATATAATTATTTTATTTTTTTATTAACACTAACTTTATTTATTTTTTATTGATTTTACACTAGCAGGGAGACTGCCTGTCAGCACAGGCAGTCCCCCTGCAGGCAGACACATGGACACCTATTGTGACCATGTGATCGCTGTGTTGAGCAATCACATGGCCACAGGGGTCCTAATTCAGTGTGGGGAGACTGTCTGGGCTGCAGGCAGTCTCCCCACACCGGAGCCACGCTGATCGCCGCCGGGGGAACGACGGCGATCAGGTAAGTAACTAAGACCGTTAGGACGGTTCAGGATCGTCATCGGTCGGCAAGGCAAAAATGCCGATGACGGTCCTGAACCATCCTCGGTCGTTAAGAGGTTAAAGGGACTCTCCAGTGCCAGGACAACAGAGCAGTGCAGAATCCTGCAGTGCCGCTCTCCCTCCCAACCCCTTTCAGTAACTTACCTGAATCCAGCACCAATGTCCCTTGGCACTGGGTCAGGCTCTTCCCACGCTCCTCCTCGGCAATGGCCGCGGGCGCGCTTTCCTATAGGGATTCCGACAACACTGGAGGTCCTCATGCATAGCGTGAGGATGTCTAGTGTTGTTTAAAACACTTTTCGTGTTTTAAGGAGCCGGAAGTCCCTCTAGTGGCTGTCTGATAAAAAAAAAAAAAAAAGGCATAAAACTTACCTTGGACAAAATTTTTGTGATAGACAGCCACTAGAGGAGGGCTTAACCCTGCAAGGTAATTATTGCAGTTTATAAAAACTTCAATAATTACACTTGTAGGGTTAAAGGACCACTATAGTGCCAGGAAAACATACTCGTTTTCCTGGCACTATAGTGCCCTGAGGGTGCCCCCACCCTCAGGTCCCCTGTCAATGAGACAGCCACTAGAGGCTGGATTAACCATATTATAAACATAGCAGTTTCTATGAAACTGCTATGTTTATAGAAAAAAGGGTTAAACCTAGCTGGACCTGGCACCCAGACCACTTCATTGAGCTGAAGTGGTCTGGGTGCCTATAGTGGTCCTTTAAGGGTGATGGGAGTTGGCACCCAGACCACATCAATAGGCAGTAGTGGTCTGGGTGCCTGGAGTGTCCCTTTAATGAGTGGACGAAAAGTCCACAAAATACTATGAATATATAAAATGCTCTGTAAATATACTGTAAATGTGTGCAGTGTGCCCAAAACATTGCAAAACCAAAGATTGTTGCACACTTCTGGCGCTCAACGGGTTAAAGCAACTTTTTAATTTATTTAAAAACTGCCAAATCATAAAACTACTCTATGTGGTTTTACTTGAGTGCCCACACTCAATCACACCGTCAGCTGTACATTATCTTACATAAGCCCCGAGAGCCCAAATTGCTCCTGGGGCCAGAATTCCACCTGCTTATTGCTCCCGTGTCATGATCCCACGGTAAGTTGTCGCAAAGCCCTGTGAGCTGTGACCTGATTGTGTGTGCACCTACAAAGCCCTGGCACTCACCTAGGAGCTGCTCGGCCGGAGGTGCTGCGGCTGCCGCGCGGCATGTTGTCCTCTTGCTGGACTGGGTGACAATGACAGCTGTGCAGGGCACTGCGTCCTTAGAGGAGACTAGAGAACATCACTTCCAGAACACTCCAGTGGAGCGGGCGCTCCGTAGTGACGTCAGAAGCTGCAAGTCCTCTATTTGTGGCATGCACCCTGTAATCCGCGTGCCAGCGTCTCTTTAATCATTAGCCACGTGTTTACAGTCAACACAGGTTACTGTCTTACTCATCAGCTACCCCTTGTTATTACGTGCTGCTTATGTAGGTTGTATTCATGTTTCATAAAATTCCTTATATTCTTTACCCAGAGCATTTAATAAAAGCTATGATTAGGCATCGTTCAAAATTAAAGACAGGTAGATGTACTCAGGGAGGAGATGATCATGCGTTGATTTGGCAGGGACAAAGAAAAATACGTGGAACATGTATGTAAACCCTCCAGCCTCAAATTGCGCTGAGGTGACATATGCGGAGAAATTATTTTTTATTTGCATTTAACCAATATGAACTATAGCACTACATGGTTTACTCTTATCTAAACATGATCTGATCCATTATTTATCTGGTCAAAAGATATTATTTATGTCACATGTTTGTATAAACATTTTCATGGTTATTCACTAAAGTGCTGGTTATTTAAAGTAAAGGCGGGTTTAGTAGTTAAGGTGATTGTAGTGTTCTTTTAAGTAGATGTTATTAAGGATGATTTTCAGGAAGGTCAATAACATAGCTTCATTTTGGTATGATTTTTGGATAGGTGTAAAATATTGAACTCCCTTTAATCCATCCTTCTCAGTTTGTATACTTTATTACATAACGAATTTTCAATAACATTGCAACAACGCAAACCTCCAGGAAGCCTCAATGACGAAGTCACTCTTTGTGAAAATGCAACAATTGACAAATATTTAATAAAATATAATAATAATAACTACAAAAATAAAACAAAATGGAGTAGGGGAATATTTACCTTAGTAACTAAATCCAACACCTTTAAAGACAATATAACAATCAAATTAGTTTTCTACAGGTGCAACACAATATAATTAAGTGTTCTTGCATAACTTAATGTTATCTCACATATTTATTATTCTTATTATAGCCAAATTTACCTCCCTAACTCCTCCCACAGTTTTTACACTACATAGACAGTAATATATCTTTTATTGATGTATTTTCCTTTTATTGATGTATTTTTCCTCTTTCTTTTGCTACGGATTATTATATATTTGTAACTTTTTTCAGATTGATTTATTTGTGTTTTTTTGGTTTCCTTGGCAGCCATAATCATGAGATTATGGTTGGGAGGATCCAAATCAATATGGGTGGCCACCCATCACATTCAGGTGTTTCTTATGGTTCTTATTATTTTGATATATAAGGGTGAATCTCACTCTTCTACAACAGGCTCCCTTGATAAAGGCATCTCTTTTGCCGAAACGTTGGGGGCTTGCTGATTAATTTTTCTTCCCTCTTCTCACTAGTTCTGGTATGCATTTTTTTTTTTATAAAAATTTTTTTTATGGGTTGTTAGGATTTAATATCTCTATTAATTATTTATTACATTGATATTTAGGTATGTGTTTACTGTATATCCTGTTTGGATGGTATCACTGAACCTCTGACAATATTTTGTATATTATCAGCATGTGAGTCATGTTTTGATCTTTTTTGATATGCATTGTGAGATAGCTATCTTTTTTGTACCTATCTAATAATACATTTTTTTTTTTCACATTAATGGTTGTGCTCCTTGACTGGATATTATCTGGTATGTACTGTGTGTCAGGGATGTACTGTGTGTGTAGGTTGTGTAGTGTTTGTCTGTAGGGGCTCTAGTGTGTGCGTAAAGGATCTATAGTGTGTATATGGGATTTTCTGTGTGTGTCAGGGATGCTCTGTGCATGTCAGAGATGTACTGTATGTGTCAGGGATGCTCTGTGCATGTCAGAGATGTACTGTATGTGTCAGGGATGCTCTGTGCATGTCAGGGATGTTATGTGTGTTACGGATGTTATGTGCACAAAAGGGATGTACTGTGTGTGTCAGGGATGTTCTGTGAATGTAAGTGATGTACTATGTGTATCAGGGATGTTATGTGTGTGTGTCAGGGATGTACTGCATGTGTGTCAGGTATATTCTGTTTGTGTCAGTGATGCTTTGTGTGTGTCAAGGATGTACTGTGTGTGCCAGGGATGTACTATATGTGTGTCAGGGATGTTCTGTGTGGTAAGGGATATTATGTGTATTTCAGGGATGTACTGTGTGTGAAGAGAGATGTTCTTTGTGTGTTAGGGATGTTCTGTGTTGTCAGGGATGTACTTTGTGTGTACAGGATGTACTGTGTGTGTCAGGGATGTTCTGTGTGTGTCAAGGATGTACTCTGTGTGTCAGGGGCATTAAGTGTGTGTAGGGGATGTACTGTGCATAAGCGTGCGCAGCCTATTGCATTAGGGTGTGTACCCTAAAGCACAAACACACGCCGCATGTTTATGTATTTATGTATGTGTGTATATATGCACACATATATACACACACACACATACATACACTGCTGTGTGTGTGTGAGGGTGCTGTGTGTGTGTGAGGGTGCTGTTAGTGTGATGTGTGGGTGAGGGTGCTGGTAGTGTGGTATGTGGGTGAGGGTATTTGTGTGTGTTTGGAAGGGTGCGGTTAGTGTGCTGTGTGTGAGGGTGCTGTTTGTGTGTGAGGGTGCTGGTAGTGTGCTGTGTGTGAGGGTGTTTGTGTGTGTTTGTTAGGGTCCTGTTAGTGTGCTGTGTGAGGTGCTGTGTGTGTGAGGGTGCTGTTTGTGTGATGTGTGTATGAGGGTGCTGTTTGTGTGCTGTGTGAGTCGTGTATTTGTAAGGGTGCTGTTAGTGTGCTGTGTGTGAGGGTGTTGTGTATTTGTAAGGGTGCTGTGTTTGTGAGGGCGCTGTTAGTGTACTGTGTGTGTGAGGAAGCTGTGTGTGTGTGGGTGCTGTATGTGTGAGGGTGCTGTTTGTGTGCTGTGTGTGTGAGGGTGCTGTATGTGTGTAGGTGCTGTGTGTGTGTGGGTGCTGTATGTTTGGAGGGATTGTGGAGGTGGGGGCAGATTAGTAAATATCCCCTCTACCTTCTTACCTTATGTAGGGAGGGGGGATCCTTGCTGCCATGTGCCATCCCTGGTGGTCCAGTGGAGAGTGAACTCGAGCCCGCGGGGCTAGAGTTCACTCTTGCAAGATCTGAGTATTGCCGCGGCAACGCTCAGATCTCACGAGAGAAACCTGGCGGAGCTGCTGTCTAGAGCTCCCCGGGTCCTCTCCTGCCTCCCTCCATGCGGCAATGCTCAGATCTCACGAGAGAAACCTGGCGGAGCTGCTGTCTAGAGCTCCCCGGGTCCTCTCCTGCCTCCCTCCATGCGGCAACGCTCAGATCTCACGAGAGAAACCTGGCGGAGCTGCTGTCTAGAGCTCCCCGGGTCCTCTCCTGCCTCCCTCCATGCTGCTGTGGGCTTGTGAGGTAGATTTTTGGTCTCCCCGTCGCTTAATGGAGGCTTAGAGCAGAGCTGGCACTCAGATAGCGCTGGCTCTGCATGAGCTGACAGGGGTCAAGTCCTGGAAAATAAAGTGTGGGAACTCTCCCAAGATTCCCACCCCCCAACACTGACACACAGACACACACATGTATATTTATATACGCATGCACACACACACTGACACACATACTCAGACACACACACATACACTCACAGACACACTTACAGACACACACATACACACACACACACACACACACACAGACATTCATAAATTATTTTCCACCCAGCCTCCCTACCTGGAGAGCTGGCGTGGACATGTTCCTGGGGTTCAGTGGGTCGGGTGCCTGTCTCCATTTCAGATGCCGCGAGGGAGCTGTATCCTCTCCGCTCCCTCTCGCCGCGCAGGCAGTCTACTGTAGCTGGGAGCCGGAATATGACGTCATATTCCGGCTCCCAGCATCAGCAAACGTATTGCGGCGAGAGGGAGCAGAGAGGATACAGCTCCCTCGCCGCATCTGATATGGAGACAAGCGCCCGACGGGGGCGGGGGGGGACTTCACCTCTTGGCCCCCCCATGAGATGGGGGAACACGGGGGGTGGAGGGGGGCATTTGGGGGCGGCAGAGTGCCTGCAGGAACAGCAGGAACAATGTTCCTGCTAAAAAAAAGTGCAGGAACACCGTTCCCACGCGTTCCAAATATTCAATCTTTATTGTAGTTTTAAAAAACGATCAATGTTTCAGTCCTCCGTTCGGGACTTTCATCAGGATCAAAAGTATCATACTAGTGTTACAATTGTTATTGTAATTCGTCTGGGACAAAATGGCGCAATCATATTATGCACTGAGGTTATTGCTTAAAGAAACATCTATGAAAAACAATATGTTCCATTTCTAACACCTTGTCAATTTGCAATATCTCTTAAAGACAAAGTACACAGTTTAAGAAATACAACATTTCATTCTAAAACTTGTAATATTTGCATTTGCCCATAACACTAGTGATAACAAAGCCCAGGTTGAAGAGCACCCGACATTTAAGGGATTATTAAGCAAGAGTGCAAAAGAACTTCTGTTTTTTACATATATATAGATATATAAAATAATATATAATAATAATAATGCATAATAAATACATGTTATTGACTGTAGTTCATGCTCAAAGTAAAGCTTTGAAAAAAAATCTGAAATTAAGCGTGATAAGGAAATTGCAGAAAAATTTCATCACAAAATATTTCTTTTATTTATAAATATTCTGCCATTTAACAAGTTTAACTTGTTGTTGTGGAATATCCACAGGGAGGCACTATTTGAATATGTTAAATTCTACCACATTTCCATAAACTAACATAGTCAGATTATGAAAGCTTTAAAGCAACATTCTCATTTCTAATTTCCTTTTTTTTTTATTAAATAAGTGTTACTATTATAAAAAAAATAGAAAATAATCCAAAACACCAAACACAGTTAGATAGAAACATAGAATGTGACGGCAGATAAGAACCATTCTGCCCATCTAGTCTGCCCAATTTTCTAAATACTTTCATTAGTCCCTGGCCTTATCTTATAGTTAGGATATCCTTATGCATATCCCACGCATACTTAAACTCCTTTACTGTGTTAGCCTCTTCCACTTCAGCTGGAAGGC